TAAATTAAACCAAGCTTCAATTAGCCCTAAAATTATACTCTCCAAAATTACAGCAACCTCTTTCACATCATGCAGTACATACGCTTCTCAGGTACTGAGAATATATACGTCTTTGTGGGTGGCAACAGCTGTTCATTTATAGCATTGACTTCATGTATTTCTGTCATATTTTACCAAAACTAATGACTATTTCTAAAGCTGGAGACAAAGTTAATGGAGCAAATGTTCTTATCAGTCACATTAAACTAAAATCTGGCCTTGATCTCATCATGTTGCTCTCCTTAATTTCATAACGCTCCAGGAGATATAATATCTGACATGATTACCCTGACATGAAGTAATCTAATGAAATCAAAGCAGAACAGGGAACACGGTAGAGCTACCAGATGATACTTAATATTTAACTAATAAACAACCCAATCATTTATCTGTGAAATATATTTAGGGTTTTATACTGCAATTTTTTAACACTATTTTTTTTTAAATATGTTAATATCGTGCTTACTATTTAAAGAGTACTTGAGGGGGAAAAAAGGAATATGAATGTGCATATTTTAACTTTTTCATCAGTTTCTACTCCTCACTGTGTGGGAACTCCCACACAATCTTACAAGAGGCAGAATTGCTGAAAGTACTGTAAATAGCCCAGTTTTGTCTTTCTAATTGCCCTAAGCAAAATACAATTTTAATAAGCTCTGAAAAATACTGTATTTTAAATGACAAAGGGGAAACAAGAGGAAAAGTCTATCAGAACCAACTTTGGTTAAGAGGAAAGAATAAAGAGAGCTGCTTTTAGCCTTGAGGGTCATGACAAAGGAAGGAAGAGAGGGATTACAGTAAAAATAAAAGGGTATGGGGGGTTGAAAGAAAGACTCAAAGGAAGATTATAGTAAAATGAAAGCGTGCCAGAGAAGGGGAGTAAGGAGTGAGGTACAGCAGCAAGGCATCTCTCTCTGCCTTTCTGTGGTTTGTGTTGTGCGTCTTTGACTGTAGAGGAGAAGGGATGTTCTGGTGACTCTCAGCATATTGACAAGCTTCTGATACAAACGCTAACTGTAGATCCAATCTCGCCACATGTCTGTTTACTCTGGGGATTAAATTAAAAAACACAGCATCCAATTTCATACCTGGCTTCTCGCACCACCATTCACAATGTGACATTTACTCGCTAGCATGATGCCCTTTCTCTCTTTCGCTCCCTTTGACTCCCTCTCTTTTGCAGCTATAATGCACTATGTAGCAAACAAGAGTGGTTAAGAGCAGAAAATGATGCCAGCTTCACACAGAATGGAAATATATTTGCCCATGGGATTAACCATAATGTTGCTCCCCTTCCCCCACATTTCTATACTGCCAGATACAAATATCTTATTCTATCCCAGCTTTTATTCTGTGCATTATCGGTTGGATCGGTATTAAGGTGCAAGGCTTAGTGGATAGCTCTGCAGCACAGACAAAGATGGCAATTAGCTGCCAGAATTTGAAGATTGCACGATCCATTATGAGCAACCTTTGGCATCAACAGCAGAATTATGGCCAGAGAAGTGTGCCTTCAATGTGAGATATCTGCTGTGGAAAAAAATGACACTTTCTATTACTAAGTGATTCATAACACACATGTTATATAGCTATAGAAAGCAACCAAGCAGCAATCACAAATTGTGTGTTGGTGATTTGAAGGAGCATTTTTGGTCAAATACTTTCCTCTTATGGGAAAGGTTTGCTAGTACTGCTGGTCCCATGAGAATGAAGCACCAGCTTGTATCTTACTGCACATTTTAGTTGCTTTTACACAGTTCTTTTTTAAACTCTTGGGCCACATGATTGAGTCACATTTGCTCTCCCAGACATTATCCCATATAAAATGCGGTGTTTGTGCCATGGCCTCTAGCTTACAACACAAGCTAACTATATAGAACCTTCTAAGCCTGAAGTGGGAGAAAGCTCATGTAAATGAGCGGCTGGCAGAGAAAGCCAAGTGTTTACCAAGCGAATGAGACCAACATATTCTTTTCCTGAGCCTCTGCGCATAAAATTTAGGTTTCTATGGAGATACCATGTGGGGTGGTATCTATGTGGTATCTGTGATTGCTCAGCTTGGGCTGTTTGTGTTTTCTCCACCAATGCTTGTGGAGATTATTGATATTGAAAGCAATACAAAGCAAGATGAAGGAAGGCTCAGTAATCTTTACAGTAACACACATATGCAAAGCTTCCCTGGCATCACTCTATGTCACAAAAATTGACACAATTACTTTGAGGGACATAATTAAAACACGATACTGCCAGATCATGTATATTACAGCCATGTGGCGTTGCAGTGATGATATCAATGAGTAAAATTAGACACTGAGCTACAAATTCAAAAAGCGGAGGTATTTACGGCAGGACTCACACTGTCCCATGGCGTCACATATGAATCCAGCTTAGTGGACAAAACCAGCCTTGTGAGAACAAGTACCAACAGAATGCTGATATTTCTCAGTTTTTACTGGATCTGTAAGTAATGTAAAGTGATCATGTGCTTGCCATAACAATTTAATAAGCTGATCTCAAGGCTTGTTGCTGTGAGTCTGTTTGAAGTATACTTTCTGCCCGCCAGCATTAAGACTTTAACACAAACAAATCACAGCAACCGACTCTATCATTGTATCTATCATTCCTCAAGTTTTAGTATTGACAGCAATACAGTCCATTAGTTTTCAATGTCCTCAGCTGTTATTTCTTCCTAATGATGCTTTACATCACAAGCGGTCTAAGTAGAAGATGCCTTGATAACTTCAACAGATCTTTAGCCCTTACAGCATATTGCAATATTGGAAAATCAATTCCTTGTGTTTTCAGCACTTGTTATTCTTTTTTTCCTCAAATTATTGTTTCTCTGTCTTTCGGTGACTGATGCAAGTGATGTAGGGTGTTTGTTAGTAAATCATGGGATAATTATATGTCAGTGAAAATGTAACAATGTGCAAACATTTGCATATGTACAAGGCTTCTATCACCGTATTCTTTGTTGTTTACCTTACTAATAAGCTGAACGCAGCTTACTTGCTGAATGGAGCAGGGTTGTGGACGGATGCTCAGACTTTAAAAAAAGTCGCTACAAACTTTTGGTAGATTTCGTCAGAAAATAATTCTGGTTTGGTTGCTTTGAAATAGAATACCTATCACACAACTTAAGGGCAGTGCTTCAAAAGGACTCCTCTTAACTATGAACTTGGCAACCTTGGGGGAATGAGAGCAGCAAAGAGATCACAAACTGTATTTTCAAGAGAGCTTGCATCATCGCCTTAATAATCCCGAATCCCTACAGATGTGATGGAGGAAGACAGTACCAGTCCAAGTCTTATTAAGAGCTGATCCGCCTTTTATTAAGGGCTTCTTTATGGGATTTCCCTCTGGCTCAGCAGTGTGAACTGACTGATATGCTTCACTGCAGACGACCTGAGGACCTCTCTGGATCTGACTTCAATTAGAGGCTGTTGGAGACTGTGACACCCCTGGCAGGTTGTGAGTTTCCTGTGCTGAGTGAAAGGTAAGGAAGATGTGGTGACAAAAGCTCACCGAGGCGCAAACGGGTGCAATATGTCACCTTTCAACTGACAGCTCAAGAGAGTAGAAGAGTGTTTTTAATTTTACTTCATTATGAATTGAGGATAGGTGTAAGTATTTAAAAATAAAAAAATTTTGTGTTCACAAGTTCAACTATTCTTATCAGTCTTGATTTATGAATGTTTCTGAAACGAAATCCACTACCACAAACCACAAACAAGACTATTATAATAACCTAATATTACAATCACCTTTAGTAAAATAATTGTTTCCTAAAATACTTACTGTTAAGGATGCAACTATTCTGACAATTATTTTTTGATAAATCAATAAATCACTTGATCTGTAAAACATTGTAAAATGATCCCAATCACAATTTCCCAGAGCCCAAGTTGAAATGAATGTACCAACACCAAAACCCAAAGGAAAAAATTTAAAATGTGCTTTACAAATAAACTTTACTTACTTACTTACTTACTAAAATAAGGATGAAATGTTAATTATAAATAATTCAGTGCCTTTTGCTTGATAAATGTCTTAAACGATTATTCAATATCAAAAGTGTTGCAGTAATGAGCATGTATGCAGTTTGCCAACAGCACCAAATGGGGCAAATTAGTTAAAACACAGCACAGAGTAATACACAGATAATTAATAATTTACAGAAAATATAAACTACACAAACTGCAGGTAGGACACAACAGGCAGCTAACCACATTTTTGCATCCACCACAATGTTTCCCTATTGCTCTTCCCTGGATGAAAACATCACCTATATGCATAACCATGTCAAATGTCTAATTATGTAGAAATATGTTTTGCAGCATAGTACACGCATCAAAAATAAAGGATTCAAATTGCTTCACTAGTTTCTTTACTTTGAAGAGAGCTGGCTGTCAGATTTAGTTTAAATGCAGCTTGAAGGGCAGCCTGTGTTAGTTTGCTTTTCCTCATTTGGCTGGATTCATTTCCTTGCGATATCTGTTAGGCTCGCATATTACTAGTGTTGCAAGATGCTGAATATAACTTAATCACCTCTTTTTTTTGTTAATGATACCAATATATTTTTCCTAAGTTACAGGGAAACCAAAGTGCTTCCAAACCACTTGAGGGAAGCAATTTCTTTAATGGCAATTTCATTATCAGCCTCACTTTGGTTTTTGCTTGTCTCAAACTTTCACAAACTTGACTCAACTTTCTGCTCTTGCCTTCTTCCTCATTGTTGAAATTTTAAATTTCTGAATGCCCAGTTAGACAGTAGATAGAGATAATTCACCTGGAACAATTTGAATGTTAAAGTTTAATCTGTCTTAGTGTGGCTATAAAGTCTTTTCTGGTAAAAGGTCAACAGATCTTGACAAAAAAAAAAAAAAA